ACCTATGAAGCACAGCTTCCCTCTGCACACCCTGCTCTAGCTTTTGCTCTCGGTTCGGTGCAATAATCCTGGTCTGCAGTGCCAGTTCTGCTGTGCCTGATTGCCACCGTCTGTTTAAGTTGAAGCTCCAGGTTACAGACTGCACGGTTAGTTCAACACTTTTGCTTTAGTTCCTTTTACACCTCTTGGGTAAATACCATCTGATCCCTCCGGTTTGTATCTGTCTCATCCGTGTTTTTTCAAACCGTCTGTTGTCAGTTCTGTCCCATAACCTTCTCTGACACCCTCCTGGGGTCGAAGGCGGTTTTTCCTCAAATTGTTGTGCTCAAACCTGAAGTGGAGCCATGAGCTTGAGACCTGGTGAGTGCTGAGGAGAGCAGCAGTATTACCTGATGTCTTACAGATGGTGTTCCTCGTTATACATCCCATTATACATGTTTTTTGGTTTGGTTGTTTTTTTCCACAGTGCTGCTGCCTCATCCTCAGTGTGTAATCCAGTATTTCTCCTCTTCCCACCCCATCCTTTCTGCTGCCTCTTTTTGTTTTAAGACTTGTTTGGTAACTGGTTTGTTGGAGACATCTTTAATAGTGGTAAAATGTGATGAATTGATGGGTTTGAAGATGGTTGGCTTGTTGTTTCAAAGCATGGAAGACATGATATTGATGTGACCAACACTGTATACCTTCTCTGGACACAAAGAAGCTCTGGAAAGGATAAAAGTGGGTTGCAGCATCTGTCATTATTATTTTTTAGCTGCTTTTTTGGTTGTTGGTTTTTTGTGGTTGGGTTCTTTTGGGGTTTTTTTTTTCTATTTACTTGGGTTTGGTTTTGTTTTTTTAAAAAAGGACCCATTTTCAAGCTGGATGCTTCCACATGGGTTCTTCTCCTATAAAACCAAATCTAGGCTCTCCAGTCCTTTGAGTAGAGTGCACTGGTGTAGTTAAAGCATTGCTGCCCTGCTGCAAGCAAGGGTGTGGAGACCTAGTGAGGAAGGTGGCCAAGCACGGTGGTGTCCCCCAGGTCTCCTGCCAGGAGCAGAGATGCTCTTGGACCATGTGAAGGGGAATGCCAAGGCTGTAGAGAAGAATTTGCAGGCAGAGGCGGAGCAAACCATCTGTGCTCCAATGCAGGCTGGGCATGGTGTGCGGATGGATGGTGCCCTTGCTTGCAAGGAGTGCAGATGGCATCCTGCTCCCCAGCTACCACCACAACCTTCAGCGCTTGCCTCCATCACTTGCTTTGGCTTTTCAAGGCCAGATGGGGAAGGGCTGCAACAACACAGGGTCGGCAAGAGTGGAGCTTGGCTGTTGTGGGTGGATGTTTTCATGCTGGAGGTATCACGATTTGGGGCTAGGAGACCCAGGTGGACAAGCAGAGGTGTTTCCAGTGGGGACTTTGCTATCTGCTGGTGTCCTCTAAGCTTCCTCACAGGGACCCCATGGGGCAGCAGAGCCCTGGGCTCTTTGCAAGGCAGAGTTGGGCCACCCCATGCGATGTAACCCAAACACTCAGGGAGCAGAGCCCTTCAGTGGGAGGCCAGCACCTGGCTCTCTCGGCGATGCGATGTTGCCCTGCCTGTGACTTGGAGCCTTCCCAAGCGGCTGTCAGTCACCGTCGCTGGCCCTGTTCTCACTCACACACAGTATTATCTCTACCCGCTGCTGCAAATTGGCTCTGAGCAATCCTTGATCTGTCAGCATCGCCTACCCACTCTCAGATGTCACCAGCCCCCGCTGCTGCCCTGCTCGGTAACGTGTCTCTCTGAAATGTAATAATTCATTAACTTGAGCTTAACTTTTTTTTTTCCTCCCCTCCCCTCTCTGCCACCCTTTCTTCCTTCTAATGGACAAAAGCAATTAAGCTCCATTAGGGATCAAGCGTGTGGGAAGTGTCTCCCTCAGAGACGCTGCCACAGCTTCATGGACCTTGTCCCTGGATGATTGTGGCACCAGCTTCTCGCAAATTAGGGCTCTGTGAGCAAACAGTTGGGTAGAGAGAAATGGTGCTCAATGAGAGGGGCACTGAAAAAGATGTTCCCACTCCCTCCTCTGGGAAAAGGTGATTTGAGGCTCAGCTGGTCCTTCTGGGTGTCATCATGGACACAGGATGATTCTCTCACTGAGCAGCAGAAGGAAACACTGGCCTCGGCAGAGGAGGAGGTGGGAGATGGAGGGGTGGGCAAGCAGGAGACAACAGAGAGGGGCCAGATTTCCAGCTGGTGTAAATCAGAGGAAGCTCTCCAGGTGCTGCCAGTTGCAGAATATATCTGCAGGATCTGTCTGGCTAAATTTCTGCTGAGGAGCTGGCTGGCATGGGATTATGGCCTGTAGGGCAGTGGTTCAGCATGTGGA